CAGTTTATGCAGAAGTCAAGCTATTATTGATAAAGTGACAATAATAAGATGCTAAGCAAATGAATCCTCTTAATTGATGAAGATTTGTAGGTGTGGAAAAATTTTTTACTTTTTCAACTTTAGCTTTGTTGGGTCTTACTCCATCTTTGTCTATTATATGTCTTAGATAGTTGATTTCGGATCAGAAGAAGGTATATTTTTCTGAATTCAATTTTAATTTGGCATCTCTTAACTTATTAAAAATAAATTTTAGATGTTCTAAATGCTCTCTGAATGAACTTGAATAAATGTTAATATCGTCAAGATATACAACAGCGAAGGTACCATTACACTCCCCTAGTACCTTATCCATCAGTCTTTGAAAGGTTCCGGAGTATTGCAAAGTCCAAATGGCATTACTTTAAAAGTATAAGTGCCATATTTTGTAATGAATGTGGTTTTTTCCACATCAGCCTCATTTACCCTGACTTGCCAATATCCACTCATTAAATCCAAAGTGGAAAACCATTTGGCCATTCCAAAAGTATCTAAGAGGTTGTTAATATGAGAAAGCAAATAAGCAACCTTCTTAGTAACTGAATTTATTTTTGGTAATCTATGCAAAAGCGTAGCTTCTCATTTTTCTTAGGTACAATTAGCACCAGGAATGCCCAAGCACTGTTCACTTCTATAATCAATCCTCATTGTTTAAGCTTATTAATTTTTTTCTTAATGAACTCATTTTCTTCATATATGGCTTTATAATACCCTTGCTTAATTGGGATGGTGTCACCAGCATTAATAATATGCATGGTGACATTAGTACACCCTAAATCCTCAAGACCTTCGGCAAACATTTCAATTTTGTAAAGTAGAAATTCATGGATTTTTAGTTTTTGTTAGATAGTTAATTTGTCATTATTGACCATTTCCAACAATTTTTCTTTTAGGAACTTCTCTTTTTCTTCATTATCTTCTCTTTAGGTGGAGACTTCCTTTATGTTAGTAAGGTATAGTGCTGGACTCCCTATACTATCTAAGAGTTAACTTTCGATATTTTCTTTGTCGAATTCTTCTTCCTCATAATCAAGTTTGTTAAATGTGTCTCTGTCATTACTATATAAATTGTCATCTTGATATGGAGTAAGATTTTCAACCCCACTGTTTGAAATTTGGACTTCTGCCAACTTATCAGCATATTGTAGATATAACTTCTGCTCGTCAAAATGGATTCGAGCTTTTGTTTTTTGGAACCAATCAGTTCCTAATAATAGAGTATTATCTGATGCCTCAATTATATATAAGGCGGTGAGGACTATAACATCCCTAATTATTAATCTAATATTTCTAATCTTTCTCAACGTTTTAGCCTTTGCCCTAGTAGCTATTACTACACTTGTAATAGACTTATCATCTATTTCTAATCAAGTTTCCCAATAAGCATTTTGATATTATGCTTACTGTGGCATCTGAGTTCAACACGGCAATTACTGGATTATTAAGAATCCTTATATAACATCGGACAGCAATTGTACGATGATGTTCTTTAAGGAAGTTTGTTTCTTTTTCTATTGATGGCTGTTTCAAAATCTTAGCTAAATTTCTTCTCTGATTAGGATATTGGAGTATTTGCCTCACTGTAGCACTAGTAGGCAAAGATAAAATATCATCCGCACATTATAAGGTCATAAGGAATTAATTATAGAAGGCCTGTGCTTTCTTTTGGATTTATTTGGAGAAGATATAGTTGGAATAATTTAAGGCGGTTCAGCTCACTTCACCGACGCTCGTTTCGTAGAAATAATATTTCATCGACAACAATTCACAGACATTATTTCACCGACATTTATTTTCCATCTCACCGACAGTTTATTTCACCGAAACTTATTTCAACGACAAAATAATCCGGTCATTGTCATTAGGGTCAGGTTAGAATTAGAGTTAAGATTAGTGGAATTTATATAAAATAAACTGTCGGTGAAATAAACTTGTCTACGAAATAATTTTCGGTGAAATAGACATTCGGTGAATTTTTGTGGTGAAATGTTATGTCTACGAAACTAGCGTCGGTGAAGTGATACGTATCCAATTTAAGGAGACTCCATATCTATATTTTGTTCACCTATTTCCTCTTCTTGAATTCTGGTCATCTTCCTTAATCTATTTTCCCATTTTGGGTTTGCTGAGTGTTTTGTTACTTGTTGTGAAGTAATATTATTTATCGTGTATCTTCTTTCTTATTGTCTTTCAATTTGCAAAAACTAATAGTATTCATTTGATTAGGGGCTTTATTTTCTCCCTCTTTTGGTTTATAAAGGTGATTTAATTTTTCTGACATACAATATCTGGCTATGTGACCCGTCTCACCACAGATATAACATTTAATTCTTCCTTTTTTTTCCCACTGACTATTTTGTATACGTTCTCTAAAGAAGTTTTTCTGGAGACGTTTATTCATCGTTTCCCTTATCTGTACAGTTAAGGTTGCATAATTTAATGCCAGACCTTTGATTCTTTCTTTTATATCTTTTAGCTCATTTCCCAGTTGCTGTGATACTTCTCTCCCAGAAGGTCGTTGGCTATAATAACCGTTAGCTTCAACTCTTCTTGCCATTGCTATTGCTTCTGCTAAGTTTTTTGAGGCAGATACTGCTACGAATATAGCATTATTACCTTTTAACCTATTCAAAAATATCCGAGCCATGTACCCATCTGAGAAGCCATTATTCACGTTAACTCTACTAAGTAACTTTTTAAACTTAGTAGCATAAGTATCTAATTTTTCAGACTCTCTTTGACGTAACTCATAAAGTTCGATTTGCCAATAGTGTTATTGTTCTTCAGAGGCAAATTGTTCTACAAACAAATGATAGAAGCTTTTATTTTGTTCCGTATCAATTTCTTCCACTTTCCAAAATTTGATAACCCCTTTTATTTCTTTATACCATTCAGCCGCCATTCCCTTTAAATATCCTGATGCAATCTTAATCCTATGGTCTTCTGTCTAATTATTGGCTTCAGTGGCTCTTTTGAAGTCATCAAACCATTCAAAAGGGTCTTCATCATTGGTACCATAAAAGTACTTGACTTTTACAAGGTTATTCTCTTTGAGTGGCACCCTATTTTTGTCTTTACTAGCTGATTTTGTCATCAATTCCATAAACTGTTGGAATTGTTTATTATTCATGTTTAATTTGTTTATGAAATGGTTTACGAAGTCAAAATCTCACAGTCACCACCAAATGTTATGGAATGATTCATAGGTTTAATTAGTGTAAACACGAAAATATAGAAATTTATGATATAAGGCAACTTGCCAGAGGCGTAATGTTAGTGATTTGACAATAGTTTATTTTTATTAAATATCTTTAACCAGGTGATTTATTAAATGTATCAAAAAGAGGCTATTAGAATCCCATAGGATGATTTTTTTAAGAGGGATGAAATGCTAGAGCTTTTATAGCTTAGCAAATGTAAAGGATTCAAGGGGCTTAGGGATGACTCACATATTACATCCTTAATGATTTTTAAGAAACTACTTCCAAGCTAAGGGGCTTACAATGATAATTTACAACATTATTATAACAACACAACTATTTGCCCTTACAGCCACTTTCACTATATCCTAATCTTGATATTCAGTCTTCTTTTATTTCTTCTTACACGTCTCTTGTTCTTCGGATTTCACGTTGGTTGTTATTTATTTTATTCAGCCGATAAGCCTCAACCGATAAACCAGTATTTCTTGGATCTATTGCTTCAATCATGGGTTTGCTGTGCCTAATTTGTAGATCCTTCATTTTAGCCCGTGACAGAACTTTTTGAGAATATCTATAAGATCTAAATTTATTTAAAATTGTAAGAGTGTTGATTTTCACTTTATTATTATTTCTATCTACATAAAATCTTTAGAATTGACTATAAAATAAAATTTTTATCACTGTTACAAGATAAAATAGAATTGTGATTTAGATCATATAAACTAATCAGTTTGCTACCTTGATTTGCATTTGTGTCAAAGTTTCTGATATGCTTAGGCATTTTTAGTTTGGATTTATTTAATTCTGTTAAAATTTGATCATCATCTCGCCATTTTTTAAAAGCTTTACAGAGCTCATCTGCAGATGGTCGCACTTTTGGATCTTTATCCCAACACCGTTTCATCAGGTTCACGTAACATTGTGGTGCTTCTGTGTTAATTGGCGGTCGCAAACCATCAAGTATTTGCAACGTTTGATCTAAAACAGCATTTAAATTATAATAAAGTAATACAGTTTTGCCGTACAATACATCCCACATGATCATACCGAAAGAATAAATATCAGAAGCAATAGTAGGTTGTTGTCTGTTTAATACTTCTGGAGCGATGTAAGGTAAAACCCCATAAACTTCACCATCATTTTGTTTCAAATATTGTATCGAAAGACCCAAGTCAGCGATGTACGCGTTATGCAAATTATCTTGTAATATATTACCGCTGTGCAGATCTCGATGAATAATTCCTTGGGAATGAATTGCCTTAAGGTCAGAAGTTACACTAAATAACAAGTTTAACTTATCTTTCCATTTAATTGCCGATATATATTGAAGATTCTGATTTAAAGAACCCCTTTCTGCGTATTTTAATACGAGAATGTAGTTTCCGTTTTCGTTTCTTGATATACCGTAACATTTCATAAATGAAGGGTTTTCAACTCCGATTTCGCAATATGCTTTTAACTTTTAAAAAAACATTATTTTAATAATAAATAAAAACAAATAAACAGAAACCATACATATATATATATATATGTACCAAATAAGATATGGTGCCATCTATAGCAAAAAGGTAAAATTATTATAAAATTAAAAAATCCAATTTTTTGCCCATTCTCCTTTTGCTGTGAGGTCCATATATCAAGTTAAATAAAATACCTCATTTAAGTAATCATTTTTATAAGCGCAACAGTGATGTTTTTCACTAAAAGAATATTAACGTTAAAAGTCCATTTCGCACTGGATACAACTGCAAAACCGCCCTTTCAGATTACTCTAACATCTTCAAATTCGTAAGGAATCCAAGTTAATTGGTATTTATCATCGTCTAATAACGTTTTTATATTCTCGTCAATAGAGGTGCTTTTATATTTTGGTCTGACGATTTCGTTAAATTTACTCTTTTCCATTTGAAACCAATCATTAGCTTTCTCCAAGTCTATTTGTGTTCCAATTCCATTTCGATAACAATAACCAACGCCTGACATTCCAACAGCACTACCCATCTCTGCCGATTTTTTATAGTATTCGAGTGCCTTCTTTTCGTCTCTTTTGACTCCGATTCCTTTTTCATAGCAATATCCAACATCATTTATTCCATCAGCATCACCCAGCTCTGCAGATTTTTTATAATATTCAAATGCCCTATTTTTGTCTTTTTCGACTCCGATTCCTTTTTCAAAGTAATGACCAACATTATTTATTCCACCAACATTACCCATATCTGCAGATTTTTTATAATATTCAAATGCCTTCTTTTCGTCTTCTTCGACTCCGATTCCTTTTCTATAGCAATGTCCAACATTATTTATTCCATCAGCATCACCCATATCTGCAGATTTTTTATAATATTCAAATGCCTTCTTTTCGTCTTCTTCGACCCCGACTCCATTTCTATAGCAACATCCAATTTTATTTAATCCTTTTGCAAAACCCATCATCGCAGCTTTTTGAAAATGAATGAACGTTTTCCGTTTATTTACCTTGACACCGATTCCATTACAATAACAAAGACCAAGAATATAATTTCCATAAGCATTTGACGTTTGATCGGATTTTTGATAATGAAGAAGTATATTATACTTATGCTCTTCAATATCGAGGTTAAAGAATATTGGATTATTTTTCAGCAATGATGGCTTATCAAAAATTTCATTAATATATAATAGTATAAATATATTATTAGACTCAAACTTTAACGCATTGATAAAATCAAAAACTGCCAAATCATATTTTTCTAACGAGAAATAAGCCATTCCGCGGAGAGACCTTACACTGTAAGAGAGGCATTTTATTATGGTTACAGGAGCTCGGTCACCAAGAGCTGGGTAACAATAACCACAAATCATACCTATCAGATGCCAAGATATTAGATCATAGCCTTGCCGGTGACACTGCAGATAAGTACCGCACCATTAGCTCAAAGCTTGTCAGATGGATTCCACAATATATTCGAACACACCTTTCGATGACGGTTGCGGCTTATACAAGCATATTCTGATTAACGATCGTCATTAAACTTTGGAACCCGAT